TTGATAAAGGCCTAATTACGAATTCGAATCGAATCTCCAGCCTATTCGATTCAATGGATCGAATGAAAAGCGAAAGTCTTGGGGAGTCCACGGCATGTAGATACCTTTAGGGCAGGAAGAGCCACAGAGAGGTGAACATTTTGAGAAAATTAGTTGTCAACAAGCCCACGCGTTCCATTCAGAAGACACGGGGGTGACCAGAGAAACATAATGGGCCGGCTAGGAGCCCATTCAACGTCCAGACAAACCCTTTCTTCTGAAAGCACACATACGTCTGGTTGATCCAAAACTGAGCTCTGGGAATGTTCCCAAAACATTTTCATTTCCTTGTCCAATCCATGATTTCATCAATCAACTTTAGATCCTCAACAGCTTCAGCTTCTTAGAAATGTCGAAATCAAGGCTAACTTTGTCAACAAAAATAGAGTGCCTGGCGACGAATATGATCTTTTTAAGTAGGATGACCCAGTTGCTTTTAGTGTCATTAATCAACATATATACTATGTACGAGTGAAGCTTGAAATTGGCGGAATGAAGAGAACAATGCTCTGCTGTTTGTGAGGGTCAGTTAATGACAACCTCTTAGCAGCCCCCAAACCTAATGCTGGGAAACCAGCAAAAAAACAAAAATGCTGATTTCACATGCAGAAGATCATCCATGCAAAAAGTGCGTCACATATATTCACCTGATGGCATTTCCTATAGGAAACACAACGAATATGTTATTGTGTTTGATGAGGACTGAATAAAATCTTGAAGAAAGAGAGCTGATGCGCTTCCTTTCCGCTTCCTTGCGGCGCTTTAATTCGCAGCGCGATCCGCATATCGTTTTACATTAAACACAATACGCGTTCCAAATTTTGAAGCTTTATTTTCGCTAAACATTTTTTTCTGAGCTTTGAAAAGCTTTCCAAAGCATTTTAACCAAAAGTAATTGACCTGTTTAAATTAAACGTGTTGCATGTTTATCGCTTTTGCCGCTGCGAACAAAAAGAACAAAACCGCTCTAAATCGTGTAAATGTTTTAAATCCGAACGAACGAAAAGCGCTATTTAGAATTGTATAGCCTATGCGATTTTAATAAGGCACGCATAAATGAGTCAAAATTGGTAGATAATCACTATTTTATTTAATTATATTTTGAACAAACTCTTTCCTCCCATCAGTGTATAAAACCCCCCATCCCCCGTCTCTCGCAGTCTATGCGACTCAGTGGTGCATTAAAAGCGCACTGGATCCGCATTGCTCTGACTGATCTGCTGTATAAACGCAGAGATTGTTCCTCGCGTGGAATGAAATACTCGCACCTCAGTTTTGCATATGGTCAACCTTGTTGCTCCGCATAATGATTCAGGACAGAAACACATGATGGACTGGTGCCATTTGTTGCAGACTGACAGATGTGAGCTGCTTGCATAGATTGATCTGTATTGTCCGATCCGTTAGGAGCAATTAGAAAAGAAAAAAACGCGCATAAACTGTATAATTACAACAGCTCAGAATTGTTGAATTTGAATATTTGTAGAATCTAGTATGAAAGGTGAGCAAGATAATGACAAATCAGAACAACTGTCCAAATACATGTCTCATTGATACATTGATCATATAAACATGTATTTTCTTACTCTAAAGATCTGGCTTGCATTATTCTGCATATGTCTGTTGGATCCAATCCAGGGTTATCAATAAAGAGATGATGGTTTGCATTGATGTTGAGAAAAAAGAACTAATTATCCACGGTTATACTGCTATTAATCACGCGTGCTATCTCAAATTAATAACAAAACAGTTTAAGTCGCCATCAAAATCTTTTTTTTCCCCTTCAGGTTTAATAAATGTAGCAAAGCAGCTGATGAAAAAACAACCACCAGACAATACAAACAAATATATGAACATATAATTGCATGCAAACAATAAAAAGGTGTGTGCACTTTACTAGTATCTTTGTACAGTGTTTTGGGATAAAGAGGGTTTTTTCATAAATATTATTGAGAGAAAGCAAGTCTTACATTTGCAAACAAGAAGGATCTTACTAAAAAAGTAGTTTGCACAACAAAGACTCTGACAAGAAGGAAAAAAGTACTGGCATGCGTGCATATGATGACAAGCAGTTGTCAGAATCTGACTGAATTGGAGTTGAGTGCCAAATTCTTTAACGGGAGCTTGGTTCGAATTATGACAGACTGTATAGTGATATTAAATGAGAGTTTTATTTGAATCCCTTCGATTTCAAAAACGACTGCCAAACAATAGACAAATGTACACGAACGCACAAATCTGTATAGCGTTGTTAAAATGCCTTGATTTAACCTAATCAATTAAATCAACATCAAAGGAAAACATCTGCTTTCACGCTTCATATAAACGCACTTGTTGGATTCCAGAAAATAAATTACATTCATCAAAAGTCGAAGTAGGCAACAACAAAAAAAAACGCTGCTGTGTTTTGTCAGGTTCGGTTCGGACCGGCCGAGGCGCGAGACTGATGTGGTGCTGGCTGACAGTGTGTGGTCTTATTGAGACCCCCATCCCCCTGTGTCCCTGCACCTGCACTGGATCATTCACCCAATGAGAGACATCTCTGACAGTTCTCAATTCAGCCCATCTCACAATGCTCGGGCCCCCTCCATCACTGGCCCCCTCCCGCAAAAACCGCCACAAGAAACAACTGATTACTTTCTCCAAGTAGTTTGCGCCTTTCTCCACCCACTTACTATCAGCGCCAGCAGACAGCAAATTACAAACACAAAGACACATGCGAAGCATGGATGTTTACAGTTAATGTGTTTGATATATGCTCTTTGTAGAATTCAAATAAATAGACGCTATTAATTATTAACGCTGATAATTATTTGCTATTGCTAATATGATAATTATAGGCCTAATAATAATATCATGAAGATTAAGTGATTATTAAATCTTAATAAAATCAATAATTATGATATATTGTACTAATAATAACAACGACGACAACAGCAAATCAATACTATAACCACATTTATTGTTTTTTTTATTACGTGTATAATTATTTGTTATTAGTAGTAGTTCAGAATTGTATTTGAGGTTTATTCTTTGGCTGTTTTAGACAGTCACATATCTGTAATCCTCATTTCAACTAACATTTGCTCATATTATAATGAAATTGGCATTGTCAAGACTTGTTTTGCCGAACCAAATCATTATAAACTACATTTTGAAGGATGCGCTTTGGTGCTCTTTGAGGTCTTCATGGAAGAACACTCCGTAAGTGTTAAAACAAATAGCCCGTGTTACTGTCATCTGGGAAGAAATGCTAAAAAGTTCCGATTTCAGCCATAGATCTAATTGTATTCAGCTTTCTGTGGAAAGGTTCCTCTCCGATGGGTTAAACGAGAGAGTCTGGAGTAAAGTCCTCCAGCGCTTACCACCTGTTGCTCCACAGATATCAACATTTCTTGCGGGTCAGGCCATCCCATATACTACAGTAAAAGTGCTATTCAACAAAAAACACACGACTTTCTAAACACACACAAAAAAGAGTCAGTTCGTAAAATAACCAGGCAATATCACACACGACAGCTAAAGCAACTCTTTCCATGCTGTTATGTTTAAACAGAATTCACCTCGCGTTCCCAAAGGACTTCAAAATGCTTCAAATCAGATTATCAGAATCAGATGATGTGATTATTAATTCGTGTCATTCGATGTCTTATATTATATATTATATCAACATAATCCCAAACACCGCAGCAGTTTAACATTAAACACCCCGTTGTTGTTGTTTTTCTGCCTAAACGCGCAAATATTATTTAACAAAACTGAGTGTATATGTCTCAATAGTCCATGATAAAACGTTTTGTAAATCAGCATTTTTCAGCTGTCACTCTTAAGAAAATGACTAAAAAAGCGGCAGGTTGTGGTTCTTCAATAGCACAATCATTTTGATTGTTAAATAGCCTTTTTTGGATTACACAAGAAGATACTTAAGGTGTAAAGAACCTTAAACCTGAACACAACGAACATTTCAGCAAACGCTTTCTTTAGATACTGAGCTATCAATATAGGCTACTTCAATAAGGAACGCTCTTAGATGCATGTTCAGTCCACTCACATCCAGACTTAAATTCCCACTTTATCAAACAGATTCAGCCATTACAACTAATGCCTCCGCTTGTATAAATAATGGATTCAAGCAGTGCTCCCTGACCCTTTGAGAGTCCGGCAGGGACACGTTTGTCGGAATGAGCCCTCGTCAAATATTCATTTAGCGCTTAATGTGAGCCCTTCTCCCCCGAGACCCGCTGTAATAGATGCCTCCGCGCCCTGGCAAGAAACAGCACTAGCAGCAAAATATTCCAACACACTTCAGCCTTTAAACTCCATACATCCACACAGTTCACCTTCAGCATCTTATCTTCAGCTTGATTTCAAGTAAGCGACACTGGCTGACAAACAGCAGCAGCATGCTCTCTGTGCCCTGCGGCTCTAACTGTGTCAAACGCTAAACCAGTATTTTAATACATTAATGTTAATGTAAACGCAAAGCCTGTGGGCCTGTGAAGCGCATAAGTGATTGGAGAAACGCTTAATAGTTTACTGCTATTTGTTATTCATTCTGCATAACGCCAAATGTAATTTTCAGCGAGTGACAGTGTCATACTGTAAACGTTTTATTATTATTATTTTTAAAAAAAATCAATATGCATCTAATGTATGTTGATGTTTGAGAATATATTTTTAAAATACAATATTACAGAATTATAAGCTATAATGTCATACATATAATATATTTTACAGGTTAAAATATAACGAGGTAAATGTTATTTATTAATGTATAATAAACTATTAGTGCTATTAAGTTACAGAAAATTAAAAAACGCAACTCTAAATTTATAAATGATGAATCTTCAAAAAATAAAAAAAATGAAAAACTTGCGCGCACAAAAAAATAACTGAATGTGCGTTCTAAATTCTTGCACTCATATAAAAATAGCTAGTAAGAAATAAAGTTAAGTGACTACCTTGACGTGCGTCTTCATTTCATTTGGGCCGTTTTATCTCCCCAAGGAGGCAAGAAACTTAAACGCTGTGGGTGTCGCTCACAGTCCTCGTTTCCACTAAAAAAATAGAAACGGTGTTAACTTAATGCTTACTAAATTTAAATAACATCTAACATTTCATTTGTTTGAATCAAAACCCAATAAATACACCGTTATAATTCTGCACATGCAATTGCAATATACTTACTTTAGAAGAGCTGCACCCATGTGTCTGTGTGTCATCTTATTCAGACAAATTCATTAGGTTTATGTAAAATTTTGTTTGAGTTAGAGATTGTGAATGCATACTAATAATAAGTGACAATTAATTTGGAATCTATAAATAGGATAATTAGATAAGAAAGGCAAACATCAGATTCAGATAGCAACCCAAGTGTTAAAACAAAATCAAAACCAGAAACAATTTCAAATATCCAAATTTCAAAAATTTATTCATTTCAAACTGCATATTGAAAAAAAAACTCATATTGTGACTGTTATAATGATGTTATTAGTTAAAATATATATACATGGAGCGTTGGCAACTGCGTACAGGCCACATCTTACAACTACGAAAAATGAAAGTTTTTAAAATAAAAACTTAAAATATCACAGAAAATGTACATAAAATTTACAAACCATGAGAAAATAAAGAACACAAACTTCATATACCTAACAGATGAAGAGTGGGAGACCGAAAATAATCAAATCAAATAAAAGCTCTAACCTGTGAGAGTGCCCCTGTTTGTTCTCTCATTTAGAACTTAATCATAATAATTAATATAATAACGGTTTATTACTATGCACCTTCATTCAGAAACTCTTTTTATTCCGTTCTTTCAGCGTTGGCAGAATTTTGAAGCATACACTGAAGTAAACATCTGTTGTGCCATTTTTTTTTTTTTTTGCCTTTTATAAAAAACGTAACGTCCTGCTGTTTACAAACATTACATCTGGATGTTATTATGTGTCTTTGATAAATACTGTACAAAAGTCGATTGCAATAATAAAACATTTGATTCACTCTCCCCCGTTTCAGCTTTCCAAATCTCATACACCTTCTGGAATAAAAAAAAAGAGAGAACAGAACAGAACAGAAAAGAAAAAGAACAACAGAACGAAAAACTGTGTGGCGTTCCTACCGTTCCATTTTAAATAGAAAGCAAACGTTTGTGTTCTTTCCTTGAGTTCTATACAACTTTTCCCTCCCCAAAGTGTTCTGTACAAAAATAGTCCAAAGGAGTGTAGAAAAGTTCATTTACATATGCGATAAGGGAATCGTGCCGTTAATCGTCGTGCCGGGGACAGGTGCGCTCTGGTAGTGTTGGGACATGTGCAGTCTGCTCTGGGCACTCTGATCCTGGACCTCCGCACCGGGCAGGTACATACTGATCATGTCCCGCAGGTCCCCCGTTTGACACTGTCCGGCCCGGGAGTGAGAGGACGATGTGACCACCGGCGGACTCGAGCTGGACTCGGACTTGACCACCGAGCCCATGGAGCCCAGCGTCATTCCCGGCGTGCTTTGCTGCGAATAGGACATGCTGTAGGTGGGCGATCCGTTCATGTAGGTCTGCGAGTTGGTCATGGAGTTGTACTGGAGCGCGCTCATGTCGTAGCGGTGCATGGGCTGCATCTGCGCCGTGTTGTGCGCGTTCAGTCCCGGATGCTGCGGGTAACCCAGCTGCTCCTGCATCATGCCGTAGCCTCCGTTGGTCCAGCCGTTCATGTGGGCATAACTGTCCATCCTCTGGTTGACCCCAGCGCCCAACCCGGCCCCTACACCCACACCGGCGCCCATGCCGTTGCCGCCCGGGGCCAGAAGTCCGCCCGGCAGGGTGTACTTGTCCTTCTTCATGAGGGTCTTGGTTTTCCTCCGGGGTCTGTATTTGTAATCCGGGTGTTCCTTCATGTGGAGAGCCCGAAGGCGCTTGGCTTCGTCGATGAACGGCCGCTTCTCGCTCTCGGACAGAAGTTTCCACTCGGCCCCGAGTCGCTTGCTTATTTCCGAATTGTGCATTTTGGGGTTCTCCTGTGCCATTTTCCTCCTCTGGCCCCGCGACCACACCATGAAGGCGTTCATGGGTCTCTTGACCCGGTCCGGGCTGTTTTTCTGGTTGTTTCCCGAAGAGTTGGTGTTCCCCGTGCCCCCCGTGTTCGGCTGAGGCGCCGGGGGTTTCAGCTCGGTTTCCATCATGCTGTACATTTAAAACGATTTCGTGAATGTCTTCCCCACCAGAAGTAAATACAAAAACACGCCAAAAAGTCCAAAGTGCAGGCTGCTGAAGTTACCTTACCAGTTCTGGTAACTTTGCTGAGGAGGTAAGCGCTCTTAGGTCCTGTTGTGCCCACAAACTTCTTTTCTTAGTCTTGAAGAATCAACACAAACTCGGTTTCCCTCCTCGCCAGAGCCCTTGTCAACTCCTGATACTTTTTGAACAAGTTAATAGACAACCATTCATAGAGCGACTGTCAGCGAATATAAATGGGTTTGTCGCTGACCAATCAGAGCGCGTCTGCTCCCTCAGCCAAGACTGTGTGTCTCTTGGATTTGCATAAAGGGGCGGGGTTACGGGCGGTCAGCAGTGCAGCGCTGAGCCACAGAGCCACAGGCAGCACTTCTCCACCAATGAACACTGCGAGTGTGTGTGTGTGTGTGTGTGTGTGTGTGTGTGTTATCAGAGCAAGAACTTACTAAAGTGAGAATATTTCACACAAATGACTGTCTAATCATACTAGATTACAAGGACATGTGATTTTGAGATCCTGAAACTAAACATTGGAATACATTGGAAGAAAGTTCTGCTTCTGCTGTATAAATCTGGATTAGTCGCTTTTTTATTTTCTTCTTTTTTTTTGTACATACACAGGCTATGTTCACGTCTAATTTAACAGTTTAACTGTACTGTTAAAACATTGAAAACACATTTTTAGTAAAAGTTCATCATGTAATGTTTTATAATATTACAAGCTTTTGTTTGAATATTGCTCGTGAATAAGACATGTAGGCCTACGGAAGTGTGTCAAGTACAAAAGTAACCTACAATATTTATTTTCGTTATTAAAGTTATTATTAGTTTTGTGATTACTCGCGGTTGTATTATTAACATATTTAATAAACAATTACTATACTCGTGTGCGTATTTCAACTTATTTTTATTGTATTTCTTATTTCTTGAAACAATAACCAGAATGTGTTCACCGGCTCAAGCTGGAAGTGAATTAGAAAATAGAGACAATCATCACAAATAGGTAGTTTAGTTTCGGCTCTTGTCATTACATCCCTCTGAACAAAAGCACCACAAAAGCTGACTACACTGACCATCTGAGATCTAAGGATTCGAGTTATTAGAATTCACTCCATGAAGACCGACAGGAGAGAGGATTTATTCAGCACAGCCTCCTTCAAACTAACAGCCTTATAATCATGCAATCTGATGAAATCCAATTGTTAAAAACTACTGGGCTGTTTTATAATAACTAAAACACACGGTGCCATTTTTGGTAAGCAGATCTGTTCTCAAAGAGCTGCGATTTAAAGTTGATCATTCTTCTGCAGAAGTTGACAATAAACGACAAGACGAAAGAAGTGGAACTGCAATACAAACAGGCTTAATGTCAGGGAAAAACACGTCGGATCATTTCTTTTTCTTTTTTTTCTGCTATGCACGAAAGCAGATCTTATTATGTTTCAACGGCGTCCTCTTGTGGTGATATTAATATAAGAAAAGCTCAACGACTGGTCCTTTACAATATTCCCCACCACATTTACGCAACCCTCCTCCTCTAAACAAACACTCAGTGTGTGTGTGTGTGTGTGTGTGTGTGTGTGTGTGTGTGTGTGTGTGTGTGTTATCAGAGCAAGAACTTACTAAAGTGAGAATATTTCACACAAATGACTGTCTAATCATACTAGATTACAAGGACATGTGATTTTGAGATCCTGAAACTAAACATTGGAATACATTGGAAGAAAGTTCTGCTTCTGCTGTATAAATCTGGATTAGTCGCTTTTTTATTTTCTTCTTTTTTTTTGTACATACACAGGCTATGTTCACGTCTAATTTAACAGTTTAACTGTACTGTTAAAACATTGAAAACACATTTTTAGTAAAAGTTCATCATGTAATGTTTTATAATATTACAAGCTTTTGTTTGAATATTGCTCGTGAATAAGACATGTAGGCCTACGGAAGTGTGTCAAGTACAAAAGTAACCTACAATATTTATTTTCGTTATTAAAGTTATTATTAGTTTTGTGATTACTCGCGGTTGTATTATTAACATATTTAATAAACAATTACTATACTCGTGTGCGTATTTCAACTTATTTTTATTGTATTTCTTATTTCTTGAAACAATAACCAGAATGTGTTCACCGGCTCAAGCTGGAAGTGAATTAGAAAATAGAGACAATCATCACAAATAGGTAGTTTAGTTTCGGCTCTTGTCATTACATCCCTCTGAACAAAAGCACCACAAAAGCTGACTACACTGACCATCTGAGATCTAAGGATTCGAGTTATTAGAATTCACTCCATGAAGACCGACAGGAGAGAGGATTTATTCAGCACAGCCTCCTTCAAACTAACAGCCTTATAATCATGCAATCTGATGAAATCCAATTGTTAAAAACTACTGGGCTGTTTTATAATAACTAAAACACACGGTGCCATTTTTGGTAAGCAGATCTGTTCTCAAAGAGCTGCGATTTAAAGTTGATCATTCTTCTGCAGAAGTTGACAATAAACGACAAGACGAAAGAAGTGGAACTGCAATACAAACAGGCTTAATGTCAGGGAAAAACACGTCGGATCATTTCTTTTTCTTTTTTTTCTGCTATGCACGAAAGCAGATCTTATTATGTTTCAACGGCGTCCTCTTGTGGTGATATTAATATAAGAAAAGCTCAACGACTGGTCCTTTACAATATTCCCCACCACATTTACGCACGATTGTTTTATACATTTGTATAAAACAAAGATCAAAGTGTTATAAATTGTTAGCATATACAAAATAAGTTACAAAGAACAAACACAAAATAAAATATAAAGCTACTGCTTAAAAAAATATTTTTGAAGGATGGATACCTGAATAAATAAACAAATAGTCTCAATGTAATTTAAAACTTCTATTAAGCGCCTAACAACGTGTGAATTTGAACACGATTGCACAGCAGCACGCGCCATTCTAATGCAACTCTAAACTGCTCTCTCTATATCTGCATTTGAGTGGCTTAATCTGCTTATGGAAATGTGTAGAACAGCGGGGAACCTCTCACATCCCAGAGCGGCTCCTGCTTGGGCTAAACTGTTAATTGTCGCAGTTCTAAATAATAGTTAGCAGCTTGTGGAAAAAAAAAAAACAAGTTTCTTAATATTAAACTAAAAAAAAAAAAAATTTAATGATATCACTTGACTGGTCTTGACGACTGGTGTTTTAGAAATAAAGAATTGCCTGACAGATGAAAATCAACAAACACAAAGAAACTAAAATAAATCAATACAAAGATAAATAGAAAGCATAAGTAAAACAAACAAACATATAAATACAATTAAGCGTAACATTTCCTATGAGAACCATTTGGGCTATTTGATCGTTTTTCAAATTTCTCCCAATAATACACATCTAAGCCAAAACATATGATCTACATGAATAAACGAAAATAACTACCAGGGCTAACTACACGTTCGTCAATGTTTTTATGTCTGCGTTCAATATCTCACAACAAATCCAGTGCATGCTAACAAATGTAGGCTTACACAGAAACGAACACAACAATTACATAAAACATTCTTTGAAAGCGAGAGTTAGAATTGTTCAAGCATTAAGTCCTAAAATTAGGAGATAGAAATTAGTAGGCATAAGAGGGGGAGAGCGAGAAACAGAAGGAGAGAGAGAGAGAGAGAGAGAGTTTTCTCCACTAGGGGCCGCGCTGACTACAGATCAAAATATGACAAATAACACTGCTTTATGTATCTATCAACATGACAACGGTATCCAATTTATAGCTATAGGTGCTTAAAATATTTCAGAAACAACAGCGACCAAAATCAACAAACTGAAACATTAAAACAAAAATTGAAATTTTGCAATTCGTCTTCACATAAAAAGTTTGACATGAAATGTATCAATCTGACATGACTGATTATCACAGTCCTCTTTAGATTTCATTTAAGAATTTTCTTTAAAAAAAAAATACTATGACACAATTTTGCAGATAACAAACACATTTGTGTGTGTTAATTGTACTTTATTATAACATACATTTTAAATATTAAAAGCAATTAAAAACACTTGAAAAAACAACGTTTGTTTCCCCACCCAAAGTTTTCCAAACAGCCGCGAACTGGTACATGTATATATATATATATAAAACAAAATAGCTTGAATTAAAAAAATGCAGCTTCCTTAAAAAAAAGCGCATACTAATATTTAAAAATAACAAACATGTAGCACGCTCTTTAAATCTTTCATTAATATCCTGTCCCAGCAGACAGACACGCGCAGACGCCGAGCATCAGACCAGAGTTACTTACACTCAGTTTGACTGACACATCCAGAGCTCCGTCTGCCTCCCGGGCGGATCCTTACATGCGCGCCCAGCGAGCAGGCGCTCTTTCCGGCCGCGCTCTCCTCCGGCGGCCGCTCTCGTGATCCATCAGCGTCCACTCGCTCCGTGTGCCGGCTCAGAGTGCTCGCTGCGCGGCTGCTTTCACCCGCCTCAGTCCCTCTACAGCTCCACACCATCTGAAAAGGGGCCGATTGAAAAAGAAGAACGCATCAAGAACAACAAAAGTCACTTATAGCAAGTCTACAAAAACCCCCCACCAAACATAATGAGAAAGGAGAAAGCTTTATATATTTTTTTCACTGGGTATTCAGAGATAATATGAAGCCATTGTTTCTGGCACAGATGGCTCTTTTTAATACAATAACACTGTGAGCTCCACCAACAATAAAAATCTAAAGCCTTCTCCTGAATAACAGTTTTTGTTCGCTCTTGTAAAGGGCCAACAAAAGCAGTCGTGAGGTAATGGGCTGGCTTTTTTCAAACGCAAAGAATGGCTATTTGATAAAGATTTTACTTCAGAAATTACACTGCCATGGCATGTATAGCCGGGGAGCATTCAGTGCATCCATAAATTTATCACAACAATGTGAACAACAACAGCAACAAGAAACTACTATATACAATGCATTTAAATAAAGGTATAATAATAATAATAATTATTATTATTCTTTTCGTAATATCTCTTCATAATCAATCAATGTATTTAACATAAAAGTTATGTCATGATATAATCACAATAAAAAAAGGCAATGACAGTTGTAAAAACAATGACATAATTTGCCAGTTTGGACATTTTATGTATTTATTTAATCCTACTAGTAGAAAATCAACTGACTTGATTTGTACGTAGTGACAAATTTCACAACTGTGATCACACATTTTCTACTATTTGTCAGTACAGTTTGCATGTATTTAAATGCATTGCTGAATTTCCAATTGATCTGTCTAATTAATAAGCTCTAAAATATCTAACAACAGAAGCTTAAATTGAAGAAGATGCTTTGAAGCAAGGATCCCGGTCTTATTTGGTGTTGGTTTCAGACTTTGGCTCTGGTTGGGTCAGCGCTCTTATGGGTTTTGACAGGGCACTGGAGTAGAAAGGAACGGGGAAGACAAAAGGCCTCCGCGGGAAAAGTTGTTGGTTGGTGGCTGTGTGTTTGTCTACCTTTCTATAGGAATTATGGGCCGCCTCGTCCTCCCTATACCTCTGTACTGACAGTAATCCACTGCACCGACTGTGGAGGCTTTGTCTACTCATACAACACGGTTCAGTGTTAATCTCTACGGTGCTGCTACAAAAGAAAAGCAATAATGACTTCAATCAAAATACTACCCTGACTAATGAGCTTGCAAAGGTGCAGGCAAATAGAACAGATCGTTTGTAGGCCGTAATAATAATAATAACCATAAAAAAAACATAGTGATAGTCAAACATATTTGTTTATTACTGATTTTTCAAAAAGCAAATAATTTGACACTAAAAAACATCCTTTATTATTGTTAATAGGATGAACAGATTTACTGTTAGTATTATGTCTTGCTGCAGAATAACTGATCTTACAGCTCCCATCAAAGTCAGATGATGGGCTGATGCTTCAACAACCATTAAACGGTGCCAAAACAAACGGCGGAAATGACAGAACTGCAGTCAGATCGGCTGTAGTTCACTTCTACGTTGCAATGCGTCGAATACTAATGCATTTCAGATGGAGTCGGCCTGCATCGCTGATATATGAATGAATGGTCGTTCATTTCCATATGCATGAGAGTGTGTTCTGGCTGCTATTTTGTGCGCATTATGGTTACACAAGCCCAGCTTAATGGGAGGATGACACTTTAGACCCCTGTGCTTTTCCTTTTGGGCCCCGCTGAATCTGTAATCAAGGGGAAGCGTTTCAGGGTTCGAGACCTGTCAGTCACAGCCTGAGTGAACCTCTGTGTGAACTTCTTCAAGGGCTGAATGAACAGAGCTCCAGTGGGACCAGACGACTAGACACTCCCCATGTGTTATTAATATACCATAATAACATTTATGTTATTAAACTAGCTCAGTGTTGTGGCTATGTACGTAAATTACTTAATCTGAAAAAAAAAAAAAAAACTGTAGTAGACTGCATTATTCCCATGTTCACATATGCATTGTCAAACTCGTACATGTATATATAAACTTGTACATGTTCTAGAGAGTTTGCATCATTTTCACCTAAATAGTTAATTAGCTGAAACTCATCATGCTTAACTAAAGGCTTGTGATGTTTTGTGTGGGATGTTTTTACATTCATATGACAGAAAATATATGTCATTCAGTGAGATTATGACTTCTCTGTGTGTGTGATCTACCTGCCACATAGACTAAACATCCTGAAAACAGTTTTAACAGTGGCAGAACACAGGATCAAAGCCATCACAGCCACTTGCTTCAGTTAAAGGCACGAGCCAGGACCAAGTGATGAAAACCTTTGCTATTCATATACGGTCAGGAGGAAAAGCAGGCGCAGTTATCTGCAGAGTTACATCACAGGCTACCAGTATAGAGAAACACTTTTGAGCCATAAGTTCTTCTTCATTTGATTATATGAATGTGCTCTAAGTGGGAAATGTTTTTTTAACACCTTTATTAAGAAAGATCTCAAAGGTCATATTCACGACACGACTGCAAAGACATTTCCAGAGCAGTGAATAGCAGGTCTGTGTGTGCATATTAATTTTCTAGGTATTCTGAGGTGTCGTAGGACCTCAAGGTCTTCTTGCTTTTGAAATGTTTAATTAAATGACTTTGCCTCATCATCAGGAACATGAAACGAAAGAGGGAAAACAGTTTGCCCAACCTCCAGAACAACACAAAAGACATTATTTGAAATCACCACCTACAGCAAATAAGGTGCAAAGAACATATGGCTTATATTTACCCATCTTGTCTCGCTCCAGTTGAATTCAATTAAAAGGCGTCTGGCTTGGAAATATAGAGTGCCGTGACACTAAGCTGACACACTCTGGTGCCTTAAAATACACTGGATTTACCAACCAATCCAATCCAGCATTGATTAGGTCACTGACACACAACCAAAAACTCCCTTGAGTGGCATCAACAACCCAGTGTCAGTAGCAGTTCGCGATATCTGAATAGCTGCTCATTGTCTTAACACAACAAATGCAGCATCATCAAGGTGTGAACTACTAACCCAATGGAAACCAATGGAACTTGTTGTAATGATGCTACAATGTTCTGGACAGCTGCCAGGGCATTGCTATGTGGTTGCTAGGGTGATCCTGATGGTTGCTAGGGCATTTTCAGGGTCTTCTGGATGGTTGCTCTTTGGTTATCAAAAGAGCATCATCAAGGTGTGAACAACTAACCCAATGGAAACCAATGGAACTTGTTGTAATGATGCTACAATGTTCTGGCCAGCTGCCAAGACATTGCTATGTGGTTGCTAGGGCGATCTTGATGGTTGCTAGGGCATTTTCTGGGTCTTCTGGGTGGCTACTAGTTGGTTACATACTGGTCTAAATCAAAAGAGCCACATCAAGGTGTGAACAACTAACCCAATGGAAACCAAATGAACTTGTTGCATTGAAGCTTGGTTGTTATACATTTCTTTGTAGTTGGTAGGAAATTCTTGATGATTGTTAGGACGTATTCAGGGTGTTCTGGATTGTTGCTAGATGATTTGATACTGTTCTATGTCAAAAAAGCCTACACTTAATCTCAGGTCCCTCTTCCAATGTCCTCCAGATTTTTCTAAGTCAAGATGAGGATGTTTCCTCAATAAGCCACATAAATCAAGGTATAATTTACATCTGTAGCACAAATTGCAGGACAAGTTACTCAGTAAAGTTTAATACTGAGAGTTGTTGAGAATCCCTAACCCTAAATGTAAGTAATACTAGTAGCAATGCTAGCTTGCTAGTCTCAAGCACCAATAATTATGGCTGACTTTGGAAATAGTAGTAAGAAATAAATTTCAAGTAAATAAAAAATTGCTCAAAACAAATTGGTGAATGCTTCTGAATGAGTCTCTATGAAACCATGTGCCTGTTAATCAAAATGCATAGACACAAACACAAGAGACAGGTGTTATCAAAAAGCCAGATATGGGCTCTGTAGCGCAGAGGAATCGTATGGAAGCAGAGCTCCAGCAACCTTCATATAATGAAGAGATAGATAACAGAACACTTGCTCACTGTAACGGCAATAATAGATCCATATAAATTGCATGGGGTTGCTGATGCATTGACACTGTGCTTACTAGACAGATACTCCAACAGCAGACATACCGATGGGTTTTGTTTACCGGCCAATTTGAATTCAAATAAAGCTTTGCTTTCGCTGACTGCACATCATTATCCATGAGACTATAATCCCACCAGCAAATCCTACAGCTTCCAGAGCCAGACCTTTTGTTTGGGATTACTGGAAGCTTAGCCTATAACAAAGAGAAATGAGGCATTTCCCTCATCCTCCGTAATTAAGTGTGAAGAGTTGTTTCAAATCCAGATGAGAAACTGGACACACCACAGGATGATACCTCTTAGACTTTGGTGACATGGGCGGCGGCAGGTGTCCCTCACATTTCTGCTTATGAGTGTCATAAGATATAGGCTTAGAAAACATACCCTAAACGCTAAACCCAACATCATGGTCTAGGACACCTTGGCTTCTCTTAGTCCTTGATTATGTCTTTTCTTCTCCTTGTTTCTTTGAACAGTAATATTTCTATTAAAGATTTTCAAATAGTGAATTTGATTCCAGAAAACAAGATTAAGATTTCACTCTTCACTATTCAGCTAATGGTATATTGATAGCTAAGCATTTGGCTTCTTGGGTTCTTGAGTTGCTCAAGGTGCTCAAGTTCCTGTATTGTTGTTTGAAGATTTAAAATGCTCTTGCTGCAAATGATGGGTTGTTCAGATTTAGAGTATTGCCTTTCGGATTCATAAATGCACCATACATGTTTTTTTTTTTTCCTGAAGAACTAGATAATCAAAAGTTAATTGTGGAACTTCTGATTGGAACCTATATTGTAATAATAATTTAATAATAATTTATGCATTTAGCAGACACTTTTATCCAAAGCGACTTACAGTGCATTCAGGCTATACATTTTTTACCAGTATGTGTTAAGAGTACAGGACAAAAAAAATTCTGCATCTTTATTCAGCATTTCACTTACCAATGCCTCACTGAAACCCGTCCCCAACCTTACTAAAGCCTCGTACACACCAGGACGATTATCGCGTGTGCTTATTGCCGATGTTTTTTGACGCGTCTTTTGTGTACATACCCAAGCGATTTTCACAGGCGATGAGCCGAGTGAACGGGCAAATTCACTCCCTGATATTAGATAGCGCTTAATGAAAAACAGAAATACACATCGAATCCTATTTGATCTGCAATTCCTCTCCATAACAACTCCCTCTTATCGAGATTTTTGTAGTCGCTGTCGCATTTGTCATAAAGCCCTTTGTGTTCAGACACCAGTGAGACCAGCAGCTCTACATTCATCTTACCTCGATGCATCTTCTTGGTCTACTTACTTCCTCTTTGTCATTAGGTATCAATGTATGCTCGGCAAGACCGTTTTGTGCTTGAGCGCCACCAAGTCGTGTTTTACTGTAACTTCAGCAGCTCCAGGCACGTGAACAAAAGCGCCAATCTCATTGGTCAGCAAGTTTTTAACGCGGCGCATCAAACTAAAAAAACGAGCCCGAGGCGTTTTTATAAAAATGACGCTTTTACGCCTCGCGTTTTGCGCATCGGTGTGCACACTCACATTGGCGCCCTTTGTTTAGTCATGAGGTGTTAAACGTCGGCGATAATCGCACGCGATATTCGTCCCGGTGTGAACAAGCCTTAAAACTGCATTCTCCAACAAACATCCCTTCAGACTGACACCGTTAATTGGAGAGTTTCCACACATCATAATGGACTGGGGAAGCATGTGACTCAGTCAATCTCTGGCCTCGTTGAAGTGTTTGAATGGGCCGCTTGTTCCCAGTAGAGGAAACGCACAGTGTTCCAGCACTGGCAGGTTGTGTGGAGATATCTGTATGGACACTGGCTCTGGACCACCATCTGAGATGAGCAGAGACTGGGTTTGATGGCTGTCCAGTGCACCGGATCAATACAGCTATCTTGTGGACTTTTTCTCAAGCGAAGGGAAATCCAGCAAAAATAAATACCAGGCTTTTGTGAATAGAGGAAGATCAATGTGGTGTCGCACCCCTTCCAGATCACAGACAAAAAGAGACAATGGCCAGTTTTTGGAGATGCTATTAGGCTGTTCTAAATTACACTGAAAACACATTTTTGTTGGGGTGGTTAGATGAGACGACATCATCATTCGAACAATTTTCACACTTTCAGTCAACTGTATATATGACAAGTATTTGACTTATATATTTGTATGAAAAAAGAATAGAGCACTCGTAGGAGAAAAAAAAATCACAAATTATATTTTAGAGTTTCAGAAAAGATCTCAACAGTATCTCAAACTGTGCTCTGATTTATCAAGTTTGAAACAAAACGGCAGATATTTTAATAAAGATGTTGTTTTCCCATGAATGTTACATCAACAATTTTCTTGTTTCAATTGTTTAACATCTGAGACAAAGTTAAAACCTCATGAGCTATAAATAGCAACCAATTAGAAATAAAAAGTTCCTTGGCAAATATTTGCCAAACCTGCGCATACTTTGAGATATTATAGAGACATCTTCTGAAAGATAGGAGATACATGTCAAATTACTGGGAAAAATCAGGAGATTTAAGAGCAAAAGTCTAAGTTTGTAGTCGTTTACAGTAATCCCATTGCTCTCTTGGAGAAACAATTGTGATGTCCAACAGTAATTGTATTATTTTTTCTTTCCTATGGGTCTTCTCTCTGTAGTTTTAATTTATTCCTAAGGAATTTGGGGAAAAAACATCTGAGACACTAAGAGTCTTGTGAGCAACCTCTGAGCAATAAATGCTCCACTGGGGAGGTGTGTATTTAGTGACAGACACTAAGCTCACATGAAGGCTGTAATTATTATCATAAAATAAAATGACTTCAAAGCTTCACCCATTTTTAAGACACATTCAAGATATAGTTCCTAAAACTCCAAATAGTCTTCCTTAATGAACTCAAGCTCCTAATTGGATTTTTAAAAGCTTCATACAGAAAAAAAAAAACACAATTAACTCCGAGCATTGAGTCAGGCTTGAGCGCCTCCCGCGAGTAACATTCACTCATGTACACACACTTCAAGACAGAACTGCAGGGAGGTCTCGTGCTCAGATGGACCGGCCGTGACTTCACGCGCATTTCTCCATCCTGCGCTTTTCTTTCCCCCTTGTTTATACTGTAGTTGTAGAATTTCACAACTAGCCCATAAATGCCACCGGCTCACGGGAAGATAAATCACAAGCGTTTGCCTGTGTGTGAAAAGCAAAGAAAACGTGAGTTATGGAGGTGTAGGAACGTCCATTCCGCTGTGGGAAATGGCCTACGTTACGACACTCTCCTTTAAATGCCACCATAAAGCACACACGCACGTTTACACTCACTGACAAGTGCACGCAACAGTTTGCGGCATCTGTGTGTGTGTGTGTGTAAGCTGTTCCATCACCTCCCACTGTTAACATCTGCTCCGTTTAACGCTGCCATGTAACTCTGCCACTCTGCTAATAGAATCAAATGAATCATGCTGCCAGCTCTTATGTGAAAAGCAAAGAAAACGTGAGTTATGGAGGTGTAGGAACGTCCATTCCGCTGTGGGAAATGGCCTACGTTACGACACTCTCCTTTAAATGCCACCATAAAGCACACACGCACGTTTACACTCACTGACAAGTGCACGCAACAGTTTGCGGCATCTGTGTGTGTGTGTGTGTAAGCTGTTCCATCACCTCCCACTGTTAACATCTGCTCCGTTTAACGCTGCCATGTAACGCTGTCATGTTACATGCTCTGCTCATGCGCTGATAGATGGCATTAATACAGCTCCAGCGGAGAGGAGAGTGCTGACATGAAGAGTTTACTCAGAAAAAATAGTTTTAGTACAAAAAAAAGATAGTTTCAAGACA